GCTGGGTAGAGCACCGTCTTCCCAGCTGGTCACGTGACCCGTGACCCTCGGGTTCCCATATTTGTGGAATCGCAGTCTGTCGCCTTCCGCCATTGCAAACAAATAATTATGGAAATGGTTTTATATGATTTCATATCTATGTTATGTAATAATATGTCAAGTTGGAAATATGCTACCGCAAAAACTCGAACGGAAATATGTAAATGGTTTTTGTATGATTTTATATCTATGTTAATAGTATGTCAAGTTGGAAATATGCTACCGCTAAAACTCGAACGGAATTATAGAAATGTTTCTATATGATTTCTTATCTATGTTGATAATATGTCAAGTTGGAAATAAGCCAACTCAAACGGAAGAATTAAAAGTTGAGAAAAAGGCAATAACAGCATTTTCATTGTATTTCTTATTGCAATAAGGGCTAGCCCCCCCCCCCCCCATAAAAAAAAATAAAAATGGCCCAAAACAACGCAATCATTATTAATTCCGTTTACTACTTGATACCAACACGTGCATGATGGATCCCCCGGATGGATCCTTATTTAGACAGTGAGACAGTTCTGTTACGAGAAGCAATTCAACGAATTGCCATGGCTTGTATTTGTTCAAGAACGCACTACGCTCTTTCGATACCACGCGGCCCCAATTCAGCACAATATATACGTAGTTTAGTTCTTCTCAACAATGACCTAGATCTAAAACTGGCCGCGGATGTAACCCCCCCCCCCCCCCCCTTCTTCGCAAAGAGATATTCGATAAAATTCTTTGGAACGGAATGATAAACTAATTTTTTCCTGAGATATGTTCGAGGTGAAATTTCAAACATCATTTCCTGGTAACTCTCTTCTTTCTTAATGCATGCTCTATTCTTACGATTTAGGCATAATTTACTATGTTGATTTGCAATTGATAATCTCCCTGGGAGTTTTGAGATATCCCCGATGATACGGGTACAGTGTATTTAATTTTGTTCGTAACATTAGTGTTTTGCAAAGAAAGAACATTCTGAAAATGAGCGTCTTCCTTCTAACGAAACATATTGATGATGTTCCCGACAATACGGATATCATTTGCATAAAAAAAATCGTAATACAGATAAAACGCTTTTTAAATCCAATTCAAGGAGAAACTACGACATTCTTGATTAAGTATCATTTTCAACATCACGGATTTAAAAATACGTTCTCTAATTTTAAGAAGATTCAAAGGATATATTTATTGAAATAACAGACTGATGATATAATTATATGATTTATAATGATCAAACGACAGAACTGTTTACAAGATGCAACGAAAATTAAAGAAAACAAAACAAGAAAACCGAAACATGCGATAACATCGCTATAAGGAAATATACACAATTTTAATGTAATATGAAACAAATAAAGTGTCAAAACATGCACGAGGAAAACAATGTCAGAGAGAGTGGGGTAAGTATAAAGTAAAGTTGTTCTTTTTTTCGTGAACAAATCAATTTGTATTAAAATTGATATATTGAACACAATCATGAACAGAACAGGCGGAGATGAAATAATGAACAATCATGCCCACGTTAACGCCTACAGAACTCCGATGTTGAGAGGAAAATAAACGATCAGAACAAACATTGTAACCAATTTCATGTACGTAAAATAATATTAAAACAAATCAGTAGCCAAAGTAATGCTTTTCAGAGTCAAATCTCGCAAGACGAGAGCGACACACAAGCGGGCACTACATGAATAACTAATGCGCCGGACCGGGCGCGAAAGGGCGCGAAAGCTATTCAAAGTTTAAGCTCCCATTCACAAATGTCAAGTGCTTCACCGGGGCGCGCCCCGGCGGGGTAATTTCGTAACAATGAGACTCCAAACAATAGCCAGATTTTAATGAGCTGGAAACCAACTGAAGTCCTCTCGTATCCGACGCAAAAAGGCGCAAATGGGCGCCAAAAGGCGCCTCCTTTGTTCTCATATCCTGCTCTGCGCCCCGACGCGTCGCGGCACAGTCGCAACTTTGGAAGGCTCCCCTAAGAGTAAACCCTTAAAAACTAAAAAGTAGTTATACTTGCATTCATCATCTAAATGCACAAATATATAGTTACAAGTATTTACAGTGGTGAATCGAAATGTACAAAATTCTTTAGCAGACGAATGAATGAAGGTGGCTTATCAACGCTCTGCTTCACAGCCTCACTAAAGTTTAAACGGAAGAAAGCATTTCAGTTTTATATATACAAACAGACTGAGAAAACATCTTTAATTTGTTGCAATCAGAATAATAATATTTTTTCCACCTTTCCCTCTTTCTTTCTTTCACTCTCTCTCTCTCTCTCTCTCTCTCTCTCAATATTTAACTATGGTCAGATGAGCATCCAGGGGCTGCCTTAGGGCCCTTGGTGGGGTCCAGGGGGCAGAGCCCCCGGAAGCTCAGGGGTTTTAGATTACGACAAGATCAGCATCCAGGGGCCCGCCTTAGAGCCCTTGGTGGGGTCCAGGGGGCAGAGCACCCGGAAGCTCAGAGGTTTTAGGTATTTAGTTACGGTCAGATGAGCTGAGCATCCAGGGGCCCACCTGAGAGCCCTTGGTGGGGTCCAGGGGGCAGAGCCCCTGGAAGCTTTGGGGTTTTAGGCATTTAATTACGGTCAGATGAGCATTTTTTATACCTTATTTGTGACATTGGCAGGTCACTTATTTTTTTTCTCTCCGTCTTTCTTTCTTTTCCTCTTTAACATAATTTTTCAAAAAGTGAGGGAAGGGGGGGGGGGGGTGGGGCTCGAGCCCAGCCACTTTGCTGACCATGACTTAAAAGCCCGACTGTAATTTGGGAATTTCTTATTTTCCAACAAACGCATAAAAAGGTAGAACTTATCCAAAAATGGAGAAAACATACCGGAAAATCATGTCATAACAGCAACATTTGTAAATCACTGGTATCGAATAAGAAATACCCGCCCCCCCCCCCCCCCCCCCCCCCCCATCAATACGCAAGCATTCAGGGGCTCATGTCTTCTCACCCCTATAACAAAACAAAAAAACAGACACGCTTTCCCTCTCTCACACAATATGTCCACAATATGCGCGTATCGCTATTATAAAGACCTCCACTGATAAATACCGTATAAGTGGCATGCGCAATATTTATGAAATTTAATTCCTGTGAACTTTCCTTTTCTTTGAATGGAATTGTATATTTGATTTAATTCAGGTTTGTATCATTGTTATGTTCTTTTAGATTAAAAATACAAACCATGTTTATTCCTCTACTGCTTTTTTTCTTTGGAGGGGGGGGGGGGGGGGGGGCAAAATGCGTTTTGCCCCCCCCCCCCCCCCCACTTCCGGCGCCTATGTACATAATGATGTGTATGACTATTTTACTGTTATAATTACTGTTATAACTTAGGATATCATTTCATGTTGTCTCCACAATTTCTAGTGTGAATCACTGAGAGGGGCATTGCTTTCACGGGAGGGGGGGGGCGGCACCGGTCTTCTGCTGTTGGAGAAATACGAGGGAATAAGGTCAAAAACGCCATCATGTGAAAGGAGGGTGTTTGTTGTCTCATCTTCTTTTTCACGTTTCCACTTCTCTCTCTCTCTCTCTCTCTCCTCTCCTCTCTCTCCCTCTTTCCCCTCCCTCTCTCCCCCTCTCTCTCCCCTTCTCTCTCTCTCTCCTCTCTCTCTCCCTTTTTCCCCTCTCTCTCTCTCCCTCTCTCTCTCCTCTCTCTCTCTCCCTCTTTCCTCTCTCTCTCCCTCTCTTCTCTCTCTCTCTCTCTTTCTCTCTCTCTACATATGATAATAATAATGATCATAGTACTTATAATAATGATAATGTTAATGAAAATTACGAAAATGATGATAATAATTATAGTAATAATATAAATGATAATGATGATGATAATAACAATAATCATAATCATAATGATGATAATAAGGCCTAAAAAAGATGATGTATTACCCTTTGCGACCGACCCCAATATCCTGACTGAATCTACGGTCGGATTTTTTTACCGTTTCTTAGAAAAAAGCCTTTCAAAACTCAAAAATATCAGCCCAACGAAAGAGGAAAAATAGATAAAAAATAGTTTAAAAAAAAGAAAGATTTCCGACCGATCGACCCATGTTTTGGCACCTAAAGGGCAATATTTTTGGCCTAATAATTATAATAATGATAATAGTAACCTGGATTTATACAGCGCGTCCAAGACTCACGAAACCGAGAATTATTGACGTTTTATTATAAGTTAATCACAATTATAATTAATAAATGACACATATTTGTAAAGCTTAGAACCTCCTCATAGTCACACATGAGTGATTAAAAGCAATTTGAAAAGAAAAAAGTCATTTGGCGGACGGTATCTGAATTTCAGAGAAAAAAAAAATCACATTTCTAGAAAGTTCATTTTTTGCCCTTTCATATGACACCTCAATCAGGAAAAATGAGCCAGAAATAAGAAAGTTCCGTTTCTTTAAAGTAAATGCTTACATTTCCATAATTTAATTAAATAAATTCGTTTTACACTGACTGCCTGCCAAAGCAACAAACAGAATTGACAAAGGACTTAACTCCGTTTCGTTGACGATCAGCCATAGACGAAAGACTCTTTTGTCAATTCTGCTACTTCTCAAACAGAAAACCTAGTGTCCCTTTTAATAAAGGGACACTAGGGAAACCTTTTCTGTGAAAACCCAGAGCCATCTATACACAGAGTTTGGTCAACTTGGTTTCACTGGGTCACAACAACATGGCGTACATTCTTTTGTTTTGTGCTAGCCCAACAAAGCAGCAGTCGCCATATTGTCACCAACTCGAGGGTTGGCCAAAATATCCTAATCAATGGTACTGGGAAAACCCAGAGCCCTTAATTAATATACACTCTGGAAAAACCCTAGTGTCCCTTTATAAATGGACACTAGGAAAACTCATTGCCATTGATAGGACGTGTATAGAAAACCTTGAGTACCTAAAAGAAAACCCTTCGTCTTGCGCCATCTACGACCGGAAAGAAGGGGGATTCCCCTGACGTAAGTTGTTGTTGTTGTTCAAGGCGTTCAGTCGATCTTGGGAATTTCCATTCGATGATCGTGTCAGCATGAAGTAGGTCCATGGTGTCAGCTTGCCAGGTAAAGATTTAAATACCTTGATGCTCTTTCTTCTTTACTTGAAATACACATGCATGAGTATTTTCCATTTCACGTATGTACATTATCTTAAAGATAAAGACCAGTTATGGTCATGCGATTGCATTGTGAAAGATTGTGGAATCGATCAGAAAAGGTTGATCATCTAATTAGTATTGACTATTGGTGTGCACTGCAAGGTTCTGGAATCATCAAAATGATAAGAAATTTGTCCCAGTCTTCGTAAAGTTACAAGCACTGTACACAGAAAGATGTATATGGGACTACGCACACGTGCGTTTATCTCTCACAGTCCAATAGATAAAATAATTTACCAAATATATCAATTAGTAGGCGGTTTCCCAGCAAAATTTTTAAAGGCATAATAACAATGTTAAATCTGAGATGCACGGCCCTATGTGTTATCAGTGTCTGTGATATGGCGTAATATTGAAGCCCTAAAAAAATTGCGCTTCTAAATGATCATGAAGTGCCTCAATAAAGTAAAGATCTTTGAGTCTCCGGTTTTACCATACTCATTTTCCCCAGTAGACTGTGGTGTTATAAAAACCGATAGGAAACGATAGGAACGTTTACTTTGAAAAAATTGGAGTGTTCAAAGCAGGCCTCGCGCCTGAACAGCAGAGCATGGAATAAGTCATGGGGTTCCTGACTGACCTAAAGGTTTATAATTATGATTGCAGCATTCATGAGCAAAATCCAGGATTTTGTTTCAGAATCTGAGACAATGTTAAAGAGTCACTTTAAGAGGCCACTTGGTTCTCTACTGGTGAAACTGACATTGCATGGCTACGTCACATGCATAACTCACTCTTCAATATTCTCCTAATTCAGTTGAACCTGACCTCCATTCTAAGATCACAAGATCACATGATCACATGATCACAAAGATAACTTGACCTCGGACTAACTTTCTTTGTTAAACCCTATATCGAGGAAAAGCTTACTCCCAGAATTGACATAATCAACTTCTATTCTACGGGTGTGTGAATCTAGTTTTGAGGGTTTGTGATTCTTTATTTTAAGAAATTAAAAAATATAATATTCTAATTGATAAAAATAAATAAATCTGTATACCGTGGTTTGCTTCGGCTTGTCGCTATATTCCTATTATTCTATGTGATATATTATGATATCGTTTTATTTACAGCACGTCCCCATACATGTATAATCCGAACATCTCCCTCGTACGCATGCATACACACCTCATGTATCCCACTCTATGCCATTCCTGAGAGGGTTTGAAATTAATTTAAAATCCTACTTTGTACATTGTTGATCTGTATCAATGATGATCATTTGTGCTGGTTTTTAAAATTGTATGTGCAGGTGAGAAGAATCCAATAGATGACAAAATGGCTCTCGATCTATACTCTTCGATTGTGGTTGGATGCCTTGTGTTTATCTGGATTGTCTTGGGGTTACTGTTCAAGAAAGGTGAGTACATGTACCCATGGACGTACTAGTAAGTCCATGATGTACCTTAGAGTATCTTTATTTTATTGAAAAATCATGAACCCTTCCCTAAGAGAGTCTAGATACTGGGGGGGGGGGGGTGGTTCACAACAAATTATAATTCTCCAATAAAGTACAATGTTTAAAAATCAGATTTAGTATTCCTGGAAAATGTACTTTGTTGCTTTAAAATTCATGATGGTACTGAAGAAAATATTTTCCATTTTGTTTGTATAATATGCTCTTTTTCTACTAACACTACTAACTTTTGTTCAGGAAGGACATTTCAAACTGTTGTTTGATTCACTGTGTATACCAACATCTACTGTTTTTTTCTTTATGCTGTGTTTGTTTTGTATGTGGTGTGTATACTTGTTTTTGCCATATATTCATCACTGTAAATGTAAATATACTTTGGTTCAATTTGATGTCGCTGATTTTTGTTGTTGAAATAATAACAATAATAATAGTTCAGTTCTTGTATAGCGCATAATACGTAATATGAAATAACATCTCTATGCGCTTCCAAAGAGCTTTGGAAATTATTACCCGGTACCCTAGCTTTAGCTCCAGCCTTCAAAGATCATTGGCTTTTGGTAAGAAATGTTGACGGTGCTCATTGAATTTCAGAGAGCTGCCTGAACACATATAAAATAAAATCATGACACATTAAAAAAGTGGCTCAAATTTTAGCTGCTAGTTTTGAGGTATTGACTCGTCATCATCAATAGTGATCTGTCAGTTTATGACAGGTTCAGTGATCCAATCAGAGTTCTACTTCAAGAGTCTCTCCAAGTACTTCGGTCTTTAGCCATCCGTTTCAGCATTTCATATCCCGTTGCTCCACATTCCGCAATCAAATCATCTAGAAAGCCTTTACGAGGTCTTCCCCTCAACTTCTTTCCCTGAACTTCTTTCCATATTGAATCATGCATGATTCTATTCCAGCAAAATATATAGCTATAGTTGTGAAGTTTAGTTATGAAAGAAGGTGTAATCAATTTACAGCATGTTCTTCACAATTCAGAAAGTATTTCTCAATGAATGAGTTTTGTTTGTTTGTTTATTTTTTTCCCCCTGAAAACAAGTTTATTGATTAATTGATTGCTTTGTTTTACCCAAGTGCAAAAAAAGCAAGTTTATGCTTGTGAGTAAGCTCCAGGGTACAAACATGTTTAAATCCTATCCGAGGATAACGTGGGCAGTATAGTGTCGTCCCGAACATGGGAACATTCATTTCTAGGGCCATCAGTTACCCATTGAGTCATGCTGTCAGGAATGCTGTTTTGGACATCCAAACTTTCCTTAAACCTGGCTTATTGATCCTGCTTCATCCTTTTCTGAGGTATATTTAAAATGCTTTTATTTTCATAATTTTTAATAGCTTTAATATTGGGTTCCCATAACATGGTATGAGGGCATAAGCTTTTTATACCAGGTTTTCCTAAACTTGATAAAAGTATAGCAGTGTCCAACCCTACCTTGTTTGAAAAGGACCATGCAGTTTGAGGTAATAATGATATAGTAATTAAAAGAAATCTGTCTAAAATTATGTATTGTTTAAATCATGTGGCTTTATTAGTTAAAACCTAGCATTTTGTTCCTACTTATCACTTTCCTTTTCTAAGGGTTTATATATATATCTATATACATGTACTAGTTTACCCCCCCCCCCTCTCTCTTTGTGTTCTTCTTTTTGTTTTTGCCCCCTGCTTTTACATGTATATTCTGCATGGTTAATAGCAAACTATATTGCTAGCTAGCTTGTGTTTGTGTCTTACTATACTCTATAATGTAACCATGAGAAAAATTGATGTAAAGTTATAAAAAAAATGCTCCTACTGCAAGAGATATTCATTACATGATGATTAATTTGCCAATTGAAATACCATCTTTCTCTGATTATTTGACTCATAATATGTTTACAAAGAGTTTGAATGAATAATTGTTACTGTATGAAAGTTGAAACAAGTACATACTAATAGTGTCCTGTTTCTTGTTTTGTCTCTTCTAACCCTTTCGAATGTAGAGTACTGGCCTCGTAAAATAATAGGGTAAGTGATTATGGAGTTCATTGCTCTCTTTGTGAACTATGAAATATCTCTATAATATTGTATTGTTTTTTTTCTTCTTTTTTCTGTCTTTTTACCCCTTTTACCAATATTTTTTCCCCTCCATATTTGTATTATTATGTATCCATTGAGGGTAGACAACTAGACATGATATCAAGCTTTGCTTACTTTGTCAACCCTCCTGTTTGATGTTTTCGATTAGTTACAGCCAGCCTTACTTTATTCTACATATGTTCTTTTGTCATGTGTAAATTTGCAATATTTGTTTGTTATATACTTGTAAAAATGCAAAAGAAAAAGAAAATCAAACAGAAATAAATAAATCAAATCAAATCAAATATAAAAGCTCAAAATGTTATATTTCTAGATACAGTGTTTATCTGTATGCTATTTAGGAAATTTATTTTGAAGATTTATTTTAGCATTTGATTTCTATGGAATATATTTTCATCATCAACTCCAATTCATTTTAGATTTTGTAACAAACTAACATCCTCATATTTGCTTGGCTGACATGTACGGGTGTCTTTTACTTTCTCTTAATCATATACCAATTTCAATGAGTTTCAAAGTTACAAAATGTTTTATACAGGCTACTATTACCCCCCCCCCCCCCCAACAAATAAATAAAAAATGAAAAATGAATAAATATATATATATATATACATACAGTGTGTCCAAGAAAAAAGAAACCGAGAATTATCGATGTTTTATCATAACTTAATCACAATTATAATTAATAAATGACACATATTTGTAAAGCTTAGATCCTCTTTCATTTGATGCAATTCATATGATGCATATTTCATGCATGAATGATTAAAAACAATTTGAAGAGAGGAAACCCCAAAGTCAGGAAAAACCAAAGCTGGTTCACTCTCTCATACTAGCAAATACAAATCCAAGATGGCCGCCTGCCAAAACTATAGAGTACCGAAGCTGTGACGTCCTAAAAATCTATTTATAGAATTTCTCCATTTTTTCTTCATTTTCCGAAAGAGCATCAAAAATAATGTCCAAATGTCAAAAACCAATTGAATATGTTTAGTATTGGCTGAGATATGACCATCTGAATAAATATATGTCCTATGGGAACTCATGCTGCGGCCAGCTATGGTTAATAGCCAGAGCATATAACACTGAGTTCCCAAATATATATTTTTTTCAAAAGAGTTCATAACAGAGAAACGGCTCTGAACAGGCCATGTCCCATCTGGCGGTCGTCAGTGTGATTAGGGTTGGCAGACATAACACTGTTGACATAAATAATGAGGGGCTCCTCTTCAATCTTGGCTTTTTTTGGTTTGCTTTATTCTATTGTCAAGGATTCCGGAGATGATAATTCCAAAAGGAGAGGTTTTATCAGAGGTTTTATCAGAGGTTTTGGGTAGTACCCAGGTTTTTCCTTCATCCCCCTTCATCATTCCTGCCAATGGCTCACATGTGTAAGTATGATATTGGCTTGTTGCTAATTAAAGGTAAAGATCAGTATTGGAAATGCCCCAATTTCAAAAAATGAAATGGAAGCTCTCATTACCAATCATGTGAAAGAATATGTTTTGACCAATACATGATGATAAAAAATTTGCCGGGAAACCGCCTACTAAATTATATATTTGGTAAATTTGTTTCTCTCATGGTCTGTGAGAGATATAGGGTAGTCCCATATACATCTTTCTGTGTATAGTGCTTGTATAACTTTACGAAGAATGGGCCAAATTTCTTATCATTTTGATGATTCCAGAACCTTGCAGATGCTAGATGCTAGATGATCAACCTTTTCTGATCGATTCCACAACGTTTCTTTCACAATGCAATTGCATGACCATAACTGGTCTTTACCTTTAATAGCTATAATTCCCAACAGTCCAACTGGAAACTCTTGTAAACTCAATCATCAGCTGTAGTTGGCACTACATGTACAATGTTTGAGATACTTAATTACGTTTTTCATGTGATGTTTTACATGTTATGGCGATTCCTGTGACAGATGTTCTCTGTAGGATTCCATGGTGAGTGAGTTTTCACTATTAGAAACTTTCTGTAACTCCACACAGAAGCCTTACTGAAAAGGCTGCTTTGGAGGAATTAAGAAAGTTCTACAGATTTTGATGTTGGCTGCAAATGGGACATAGTACCTTTAACTGACAAGTGATATATGCAATATTTTGTACTAATGTCAGTCTTTTAAAATAATTTTCTCATCAGGACCATAACTCTCAGCCCGCCATTACATGAAGCCGACACTTCCAATGCAGGGTCTCAAGGGTAAGTTTATGGAAATTAATTTCACGTACTCAAACAGCTTTTGCATCCAATACAACTATAGTCACCAGACCACTATTGTGGAATGAACTCCTGTCAGATGCAATAAATACCGGCTCGCTGTATACCTTTAAACACTTCCGTAATTCGTCCCATGGCTCCCTGATATATAATGCTCTTGTTTTGTTTTGTTAGTCCTTCCTCTTATATTTTCCTCTCTGTTTTTCCAGTTTTTTTTCTTGTAATTTTCATTGAACATAATCGACATGCCCAATAGACCCCATTTATACAAGGGGGTCTAATATTTACGAGATTAGCTTTTTACTACATTAATTCCCCCATATTTCACTCCCTATATATGTCTAATTATGTTTAAATACCATGCAATTGTATTTACATGTATATCTCTGAACAGTGGCGTACGCAGGATTTTTTCAAGGGGGGTGTTTTAAAATAAAATGTTTTGCTTAACCCTCAACCCCCCCCCCACCCCTGTGTACGCGCCTGTCTCTGTATGTATTTTGTTAGTGATATTACTTTTTGATCATGACCTGATATTATTCATTCTTATTATTGCTTATGATTTATAAAATAAATCTTTAAACTAAACTTAAAAATAATATACTTTTAACTCTCTCCCCGCTATCGTCAACTAATGGAAAAAAGCAGTGGACCACCACTGTCAACTTTTGGCACATGTAATTTAGACTGTGTAAACTCAAAACAATAAAGCAGTCTTCGGTTTCTTTCTGGTGCGAATAAAAGAGTTAATAACGAAACAAATGTCAGCAATTTTTGTTCTTTTTCAGGAATAATAATGGAGCGACAGAAGGAGAAGGATCTTCCAGCAGTGGAAGCACGGATGGATCTCATTCAGACATGAGTAGCTTCAATAGCCTTCATTCAAATGACAAAGCTCAAAGAAGGTAACCATTCAACTTCATATACGCCCATCACACACTTTCCAATCTCAATTACTTTGATCCAATTTTCATGAATGTAGACAAATATATTCGTCCTAATTGGGTCTATCATATTGTGAATGCTTAAACAATGTTTTTGGCTCACTTATAGTATGGTGTACTTAGGTATGAAGTAAAGTTTGATCTGAATATTCAATTCAGATATAAATTGACAATTTGTTAGCAAGTTTGCTTGTTTGCTTACATGTTTTGTCAACATTCTGTTGATTTCTTTGGAGAGAAATTAACTGTCAATATAAGCAATTGTTTTCTCCCCATAGGACTTTGAATGACCAATCTGAGGGTCAGAGAAGCAATGAAGGATCTAATGCTGCTATGAGTAGGTGTCACAGCCTGCATTCCAATGACCAGCCTCAAAAAAGGTGAGCATACTTTATAACTTAGAACCAAGGCTCTTGCCTTTTTGTAAATATTATGTTATATAATTCTTCATCTTTTATTTAGTGTAAAATACCAAAGCTTTGTATATAAGCACAGAACATATTTACCCTAGATGTAGAATAGTTTGTAGCTTAATTATGTATTCAATAGTTATTCATATTTATTCATTACATTCTCATTTATTGCTGCGATACTTTATGTGTGTTAGTGGTACTAGACACGATTAGCATTAAATGCTATTTCCTGGTCCCATTTATCCTTTCAATGTTAATTAATCATTCACATTTGATTGTTATATTAATGTACTTTTTGTTTTGGATAATAAACTTCAAACTCAAACTCAAACTCAAACTCAAACGTTGTGATGCAAAATCTCACTAAGACAATCATACGATGTTTGATCAAAATATTTAATGCAGATATAAATGAACAAGTTGTTTCTAAAGTTTACTCTTTTACATGTTTTGTTGACATTTAGTTGATTTCTTTGGAGAGATGTTTACTGTCAATTTAAGCAATTGTTTTCTCCCCGTAGGACGACTGCGAATGACCAATCTGAGGGTCAGAGAAGCAATGAAGGACCGAATGCTGCTATGAGTGGGTATCGCAGCCTGCATTCCAATGACCAGCCTCACAAAAGGTGAGCATATACTTTTAGTATTTGTTACGTGGTAAATCTCATTAAGACAATCATACGATTTCACCATCCATCTTTTAAAATATGGATTTCATTAACAATCAAGTCTCTAAGTGCTTCCAAACTTGGGGATTATTACTCTGGCTTTAGCTGTGCTGCCTAGTATTTCAAGGAATTAATTCCTGCCAGGTACCCATTTGCATCACCTGGGTTGAGTGTGGCAAATGTAGATCAATGTCTTGCCAAAGGACATTAATGCCGCAGCGGGACTTGAACCATGGACCTTGGGATCAACAGTCCGGTGACGTAACCACTTGACCATGACACCTCTAAAATGCAGATATAAATGGTCAAGTTGTTCGCAAGTTTGCTTGTTTACTTGTTTTGTTGACATTTGTTGATTCCTTTGGAGAGATGTTTACTGTCAATTTAAGCAATTGTTTTCTCCCCATAGGACGACTGCGAATGACCAATCTGAGGGTCAGAGAAGCAATGAAGGACCGAATGCTGCTATGAGTGGGTGTCACAGCCTGCATTCGACTTCATATACGCCCATCACACACTTTCCAATCTCAATTACTTTGATCCAATTTTCATGAATGTAGACAAATATATTCGTCCTAATTGGGTCTAACATATAGTATGTCATACTTGGTTATGAAGTAAAGTTTGATCTAAATATTCAATGCAGATATAAATGGACAATTTGTTAGCAAGTTAATTTGCTTGTTTGCTTGTTTACATGTTTTGTCAACATTCTGTTGATTTTTTTGGAGAGAAATTTACAGTCCATTTAAAGCCCAAGTCCACTCCAAAAATAACTTACTTTCAGTAGAACCAGAAAAATCAGACAAATCAATCGAAAAAAGTTTGAGTAAAATCGGATAACTAATAAGAAAGTTATGAATTTTTAATGACATGAAAAACTTTGAAAATCACTACACAAATTGGCAACTCACTTATGAGTCTGTGACGTATGGTCCTCACTATCCACTAATTATTTTCTGTATATTGATAATATAAATTTCCTATTTTCACCCTAAGAATCTTATTTCTCCACACCAGCATCCAAGTTAGATTGTTAGTAATATGTTTTTGTGTGGATGCACAAATAAAGAGTAATTTTTGTCAAGTTAAATCTTGAAAAAATTGAATATTGATAAACTATTTATATAAAAATCAATAATTATGAAATACAATATTCAGAAAATAGTATCAATTCTTCAAAATTCATAAAAGTTTTTGGGAAATGTCATGCACGCAATATGATACAAATCATAAACCTGGGCAATGGCATGGGGAAATCAAGTTTTGGGGGATAAAAAGGGTAATTAATGAGATTATACTATGTAAAGCAATTGATAAGTTGTGAGGACATTACGTCACAAACTGATAACCATCTTGGCAATTTGTGTTGTGATTCTCATTGTTCCATAGTTTTACATACTTTTTTCAAAAATTCATAACTTTCTTATTAGTTATCCGATTTTGCTCAAACTTTTTTTGATTGGTTTGTCTGATTTTGCTGCTTTTATTGAAAGTAAGTTATTTTCGGAGTGGACTTGCCCTTTAAGCAATTGTTTTCTCCCCATAGGACTGCGAATGACCAATCTGTGGTTCAGAGAAGCAATGAAGGATCAAATGCTGCTATGAGTGGGTATCGCAGCCTTCATTCCAATGACCAGCCTCACAACAGGTGCAGCATACTTACAATCTTTGTAACGTTGTGATGCAAAATCTCATTAAGGCAATCATAAGCTTACACCATTCATCTTTTTAAATATGGTTTGCAATTACAATTAAGTCTCTAAGCGCTTCCAAACTTGGAGATTATCGGCACTTTGGCTTTACTAATTGTGCTGCCATATAGCATTTCAAGGAATTAATTCCTGCCAGGTACCCATTGACATAACCTGGGGTGTGTGTGACAAACGTAGATCAATGTCTTGCGCCAAAGGACATTAGTGCTGCGGCGGGACTCGAACCACAGACCTTGTGATCGTCGGTCTGCAATTTAGCCACTATACCATGACAATGCAGATATAAATGGTCAAGTTGTTCGCAAGTTTGCTTGCATGTTCCTTCTTTACTTGTTTTGTTGACATTCTATTGATTCCTGTGGGAGACATTTACTGTCAATTTAAGCAATTGTTTTCTACCCACAGGACTGCGAATGACCAATCTGTGGTTCAGAGAAGCAATGAAGGATCAAATGCTGCTATGAGTGGGTATCGCAGCCTTCATTCCAATGACCAGCCTCAAAAAAGGTGAGCATACTTTGAGTCTTTGTAACGTTTGTGATGCGATATCTCATTAAGGCAATCATACGATTTCACCATCCATTTTTTAAAATATGTATTTCATTTACAATTAAGTCTCTAAGTGCTTCCAAACTTGGGTATTATTACTCTGGCTTTGGCTGTGCTGCCCTCTAGCGTTTCAAGGAATTAATTCCTGCCAGGTACCCATTTACATCACCTGGGTTGAGTGTGTCAAATGTAGATCAACTGTATTGCCAAAGGACATTAGTGCTGCGGCGGGACTCGAACCACAGACCTTGTGATCGTCGGTCTGCAATTTAGCCACTATACCATGACAATGCAGATATAAATGGTCAAGTTGTTCGCAAGTTTGCTTGCATGTTTCCTTCTTTACTTGTTTTGTTGACATTCTGTTGATTCCTGTGGGGAGACATTTACTGTCAATTTAAGCAATTGTTTTCTACCCATAGGACTGCGAATGACCAACCTGTGGGTCAGAGAAGCAATGAAGGATCTAATGCTGCTATGAGTGGGTATCGCAGCCTGCATTCCAATGACCAGCCTCAAAAAAGGTGAGCATACTTTGAGTCTTTGTAACGTTTGTGATGCGATATCTCATTAAGGCAATCATACGATTTCACCATCCATTTTTTAAAATATGTATTTCATTTACAATTAAGTCTCTAAGTGCTTCCAAACTTGGGTATTATTACTCTGGCTTTGGCTGTGCTGCCCTCTAGCGTTTCAAGGAATTAATTCCTGCCAGGTACCCAGCGCATTTACATCACCTGGGTTGAGTGTGTCAAATGTAGATCAACTGTATTGCCAAAGGACATTAGTGCCACGGTGGGACTCGAACCACGGACCTTGTGATCCACAGTCTGCAATTTAGCCACTATACCAGGCGCGGATCCAGGGGGGGGGCCGAGTGGGCCTTGGCCCCCCCCCCCCGCAAAAAAAAAAAAAAAAAAAGAGAAGAAAGGAAAAGAAGGGAAAGGGAAAGAGGAGAGAAAGGGAAAGAAAGAAGAGGAAGAAGAAAAGAAAAGGGGGAAGAAGGAGATCGGGGGGGGGGGGGGGGGCAAAAGGGCCTTGCCTCCCAGGCTCCCTCCCCCCCCCCCCCCCACTTTTTTTGAAAAAGTATATTAAAGAGAAAAAAAATGGAATGAGAGCAAGAAAGAAAGAATAGTTAACTGCCAATGTTAAAAAATAATGAGTCATCAAAATATGCTCATCTGACCGTGATTAAATGCCTAAAACTCCTTAGCTTCCGGGGGCTCTGCCCCCTGGATTCCACCTAGGGCCCACGGCGGGCCCTTAGATGCTCATCTGACGGTAATTTAATGCCTAAAACCCCTGATTTGGGGGCTCTGCCCCCTGGACCCCACGCCAAATAGTGACCTGCCATTGTCACAAAGTAATAAGGTATAAAAAAATAAAAAAGCTCATTTGACCCTAATTACACGCCTAAAACCTCTGAGCTTCCGGGGCCGGCTTCACTGCCGCCCCAGACAAGGATTAACAATCGAGAACGGTACAGCGAATCGTCTTCTTTCTCTCATAATCTTATGAAACGTCAAGCTTCCGCGCTTCGCGCGGGTAGGGGGAATCTGAATTCAGACAAGGATTCAGAGGCGAGAACGGTAATACGAATCTTTAATAATTTAATGGAACGTGAAAGTTTCGCACGGGATGGGGGGGGGGGGAGGGGGGGACTAAATTTCGACGAGGATTATTTTCGAGAATGGTACAACGAATCGTCTTCTTTCTCTAATGATTTAATGAAAATTAAAAGCTTCTGTGCTTCGCGCGGAAGGGGTAAACTGAATTCAGACGAGGATTAAGAGTCGAGAACTGTACAACGAAATCGCCTTCTTTCTTTAATAGTTTAATGAAACGTCAAAGCTTCCGCGCTTCGCGCAGGAGGGGAAGGGGGGGGGACTGAATTTAGACAAGGATTAAGAGTCGAGAATGGTAAAATGAATCGTCTTTTTTCTCTAATGATTTAAGGAAATTTAAAAGCCCCCGCGCTTCGCGCGGGAGGGGGGGAACCTGAATTCAGACGAGGATTAAGAGTCGAGAACGGTACAACGAATCGCCTTATTTCTTTAATAGTTTAATGAAACGTCAGAGCTTCCGCGCTTCGCGCAAGAAGGGGAGGGAGGGGGCGGGACTGAATTTAGACAAGGATTAAGAGTCGAAAACGGTACAACTAATCGTCTTCTTTCTCTAATGATTTAATGAATCGTAAAAGCTTCCACGCTTCGCGCGGAAGGGGTAAACTGAATTCAGACGAGGAATAAGAGTCGAGAACTGTACAACGAATCGCCTTGTTTATCTAATGATTTAATGAAATGTAAAAGCTTCTGCGCTTCGCGCGGGAGGGGGGAGAATCTAAATTCAGACGAGGATTATTTTCGAAAACGGTACAACAATCGCCTTTTTTCTCTAATGATTTAAGGAAAATTAAAAGCTTCCACGCATTGCGCGGGAGGGGGGGGGGAACCTGAATTCAGACGAGGATTAAGAGTCGAGAACGGTACAACGAATCGCCTTATTTCTTTAATAGTTTAATGAAACGTCAGAGCTTCCGCGCTTCGCGCAAGAAGGGGAGGGAGGAGGGGGGACTGAATTTAGACAAGGATTAAGAGTCGAAAACGGTACAACTAATCGTCTTCTTTCTCTAATGATTTAATGAATCGTAAAAGCTTCCACGCTTCGCGCGGAAGGGGTAAACTGAATTCAGACGAGGAATAAGAGTCGAGAACTGTACAACGAATCGCCTTGTTTATCTAATGATTTAATGAAATGTAAAAGCTTCTGCGCTTCGCGCGGGAGGGGGGAGAATCTAAATTCAGACGAGGATTATTTTCGAAAACGGTACAACAATCGCCTTTTTTCTCTAATGATTTAAGGAAAATTAAAAGCTTCCACGCATTGCGCGGGAGGGGGGGGGGAACCTGAATTCAGACGAGGATTAAGAGTCGAGAACGGTACAACGAATCGCCTTATTTCTTTAATAGTTTAATGAAACGTCAGAGCTTCCGCGCTTCGCGCAAGAAGGGGAGGGAGGGGGGGGGGACTGAATTTAGACAAGGATTAAGAGTCGAAAACGGTACAACTAATCGTCTTCTTTCTCTAATGATTTAATGAATCGTAAAAGCTTCCACGCTTCGCGCGGAAGGGGTAAACTGAATTCAGACGAGGAATAAGAGTCGAGAACTGTACAACGAATCGCCTTGTTTATCTAATGATTTAATGAAATGTAAAAGCTTCCGCGCGAGGGGGGAGAATCTAAATTCAGACGAGGATTATTTTCGAAAACTGTACAACGAATCGTCTTTTTTCTCTAATGATTTAAGGAAAATTAAAAGCTTCCGCGCATTGCGCGGGAGGGGGGGAACCTGAATTTAGACGAGGATTGAGAGTCGAGAACTTTACAACGAATCGTCTTCTTTCTCTTATAATTTAATAAACCCTAAAATTTTCCGCGCTTTGCGCGGGAGGGGAAAAAATAAATTAAGACAAGATTTTTTTTTTCGAGAACGGTACAACGAACCGTCTTCTTTCTCTAATAATTTAATGAAACGTCAAAGCTTCCGCGTTTCGCGGAGGAGGGAGGGGGAAACTCGCCCCTCCCTGCACCGACCCCCCCCCGCATTACGTCACTGTTGGTCACCATTACGTACCAATATTTGGCTCGCATAATTTCAAATTTGGGCCCCCCCCCCCTAAGAAATCCTGGATCCGCGCCTGCACTATACCATGACAATGCAGATATAAATGGTCAAGTTGTTCGCAAGTTTGCTTGCATGTTTCCTTCTTTACTTGTTTTGTTGACATTCTGTTGATTCCTGTGGGAGACATTTACTGTCAATTTAAGCAATTGTTTTCTCCCCATAGGACTGCGAATGACCAATCTGTGGTTCAGAGAAGCAATGAAGGATCAAATGCTGCTATGAGTGGGTATCGCAGCCTTCATTCCAATGACCAGCCTCACAACAGGTGCAGCATACTTACAATCTTTGTAACGTTGTGATGCAAAATCTCATTAAGGCAATCATAAGATTACACCATTCATCTTTTTAAATATGGTTTGCAATTACAATTAAGTCTCTAAGCGCTTCCAAACTTGGAGATTATCGGCACTTTGGCTTTACTAATTGTGCTGCCATATAGCATTTCAAGGAATTAATTCCTGCCAGGTACCCATTGACATAACCTGGGGTGTGTGTGACAAATGTAGATCAATGTCTTGCGCCAAAGGACATTAGTGCTGCGGCGGGACTCGAACCACGGACCTTGTGATCGACAGTCTGCAATTTAGTCACTATACCATGACAATGCAGATATAAATGGTCAAGTTGTTCGCAAGTTTGCTTGCATGTTTCCTTCTTTACTTGTTTTGTTGACATTCTATTGATTCCTGTGGGGATACATTTACTGTCAATTTAAGCAATTGTTTTCTCCCCATAGGACTGCGAATGACCAACCTGTGGGTCAAAGAAGCAATGAAGGATCTAATGCTGCTATAAGTGGGTATCGCAGCCTGCATTCCAATGACCAGCCTCAAAAAAGGTGAGCATACTTTGAGTCTTTGTAACGTTTGTGATGTGATATCTCATTAAGGCAATCATACAATTTCACCATCCATTTTTTTAAAATATGTATTTCATTTACAATTAAGTCTCTAAGTGCTTCCAAACTTGGGTATTATTACTCTAGCTTTGGCTGTGCTGCCCTCTAGCGTTTCAAGGAATTAATTCCTGCCAGGTACCCATTTACATCACCTGGGTTGAGTGTGTCAAATGTAGATCAACTGTATTGCCAAAGGACATTAGTGCTGCGGCGGGACTCGAACCACAGACCTTGTGATCGTCGGTCTGCAATTTAGCCACTATACCATGACAATGCAGATATAAATGGTCAAGTTGTTCGCAAGTTTGCTTGCATGTTTCCTTCTTTACTTGTTTTGTTGACATTCTGTTGATTCCTGTGGGGAGACATTAACTGTCAATTTAAGCAATTGTTTTCTCTCCATAGGACTGCGAATGACCAACCTGTGGTTCAGAGAAGCAATGAAGGATCAAATGCTGCTATGAGTGGGTATCGCAGCCTTCATTCCAATGACCAGCCTCACAACAGGTGCAGCATACTTACAATCTTTGTAACGTTGTGATGCGAAATCTCATTAAGGCAATCATACGATGTCACCATCCATCTTTTTAAATATGGATTGCAATCTTTGCATTCTTTAGTGAACTTGTACTTCCTCAGCCATGAAATAAATTTATTTCTTGTTTAGACTTTTCACAGTACGTTTCACAGTTTTATTTGATGGTTGAATGATGTAAAAATAGAATTTCAACCAAATAATATATAAATATTCTTGTGTTTTACAGATATTACCATTACCCTGGTCATTGGATTTGTTCACACACAGAGTGTACAATATCCATCCCCTGGGGATAATTCTACCATATGTTCACTGTGAGGGCATGGCAATTACTATCAAGGCTTTCGTCATCCTACCAAGTTCTCATTTCACTCCTGGGAATATAGTGGCAAATGTAGATTAATATTTTGCCACAGGACATTAATGCTATTTAAGTTCAAACCCATTAGCTTTCCATTTCCCATCAAGTGCTGAAACCACTCGACTATGACACCTTACGTTGGTCCACTTCATCATGATTCAAGAACAACTTCCACAAATATTGTTACGTTTTCATTTACTACATTGGGTTCTATTTTTCATTTGCATGCAAGTATCGGCACCATTTCTAAAACTTCAAACCATAATAGATTGAAAATTTGACTTGTATTCATTATCATAGTAGAATGAAATAGTCATTGTTTTGTAATTACAGTTATGTAATATTGATTGTTATTATACAAATAAAAAAATGCTACATAGTTCAATTTAAGAAAAAATAGACTAACGCACGCACACACGAAAAATCTTTAAAGAATGCTCTGACCACTTGTCAACAAGAAATACTTCTACATATGGATTATATCAGTCCTTGATTCAATTTCGTTTTAATTTTATCTATCTTTTTTGTGAGAATTAATTCAATAAGGCTGATCTAATTGACCCATCAATTATCTTTCTTTCAGGTCTCAAGTCCTACATGTAGGTCAACCTCTATCCAAGGTTGGAGGCAGTTCTGAGATCAGTAGCTGGCATAGCCTTCGTTCTACAGAGAGCCCTCTGAGACGGTTTGTATCTCATTTAATTTAGCCATCACTCTTTAGTTGTCCACCGTACATGGGCAGGGAGGGAGATCCAGAGACATACAGCATTTTGTGTTGTAGTATTTGAAGAGTTGAACTCCAAAAGGAGCATAATCCATTTTTTGTAACTTGAGAGAAAAACACATTTGTTTACCAGATTTTGTACAGGCGTCTATGGAAAAGTGATATTAGAACGTGCATTTTTTTCATAATTGCTCCCAAAATTTAGGTAAATACTTTGTTGAAAGATGGGTACTGATCGAAGTAAACAATGTTCTGATATCAATAACTCAATTTTCATCAAAAGTGAATTAAGCTCCTTTTGGAATTAAACTCTTCATTTGTAGTCAAATACATGTGGTTAATTTGAGAGGCAGTGAATAAATTGATGACCCCACTTGGACGAAAAATGAAGGCAAAAAAGACAATACATTGTTATTTGCTTTAACGTTAGAATAGCAAACAAAAATACATGTTCTCCTAATTGTCAATTTTTATTGGCTGTCCATGGTCCTTTGGTATGAAAATAAAATTAGATTTAGACATTTAGTTGTGAATTTTTTTCTATGGGACATGCAGTTATGACAATGCATGTAGTACCGTAAATCTCCGTGTATAAGGCGCACCTGTGTATAAGGCGCACCCCTATTTTGTTGCCAAAAACCCATGCGGGGAAGGACCTTCATTTTACATCGAGGTGCAGTTGAAGTTGTGAACTTGTCACAATAAATAGTAACAATGTAAATTAAAAACAGGTCCAGACTCTAAGGCTTCATGATACCAAGTGTCCCACACCAGCCTCATCACATCACCTAGCAGAAGCACTGTGTTCTATGCCAAACATCAATAGTCATGCATGATATGAATAGAAGAAAAAAATTGAGGAATTATTATTACCGGTATAAACTACATATTGAGATCTATTAGAAAGATTACTTTCAAACCAAGATGACAGACATATTTGAGTGTTGCTGTAGTTTCTGAATGGTGAGTCAACACACTGATTACTGAGCTGGGAGACATTGCCAGGCATAGCGCCAGGCCATAAATCGAAACTATAAAAAAAAAAAAAAAAAAAAATTCTGTACCTGTGTACAAGGCGCACCCCCGACTTTCAAATTTTTTCTGCGGCAAAAAAGTCCGCCTTATACACAGAGATTTACGGGTATACAAAATGAAAAATACACTATAAGATACATTGTATATAAATGCTTTAGAAAGTTTCCTTCTATATCTCTTCCATTTGGTATAGGCCTCTACAAGATGATGTAGATGTATCTCCAAGTCTGCCAGCACTACTTCACTCGATATCGGAGACGGATCATTCAGAAGACATCACTAAACGCAAAAGAAAGAAGATGCACACTGTATAATGCAAGTTAGTACTAGCATGAGTACAGCCAGAAACTTTCGCAACATATTTTCCAAACCAATTTTTACAGAAAAAAATAAATTGCAAAGTGTAAAAGTTTAGTTTTTGATGATAATAATTCCGGCGGTAATTATAATTACGTTTACCCAGGGAAGCTTCATCTTCCCGAGGCCCTGCAATTATTATTACCCCAGCAGTTGCCAGGTATCCATTTTATACTTGTGGGTATATATGGGTTAATTGCCAAAGGACGTTAGTGCCATGCTGGGATTCGAACCCTCAACACTTCGATTGAGAGTCAATTTAGTTGATCAACCCTTATACCATGACACCATGACACCTACACAATTTTATGGCGATTTTGATTTAACCATTTTGTGGAATCCCATTTTGGGGATTCTGACACTTACAAGACTTGCAAACATTTCATATACAGTTAACAATTAAATTATTCTCACCCCTTGTAAATTGGATGTTTACGTAACTTAAGAATGAAAGGTGGACTGGTTGAAATTTGAAAAGAATTAGGGTCTTTGTTGAATACTTTTAGATGTGAGCTTTAATATGTCGCATATCTCAAGAAACATGAATCAGGAAAAATCAATTTTTCACCTATTTGTAAAAAAATCAAACTATTTTGTAAGGGTATGAATAACAGTAATAATAATAATAATAATAATATCTATGATTTATATAGCGCTGGTTTACACATACAGTTTCTAAGCGCTTTACAAAACAAATGAAATGAACAATTATGTTTAATCTAAATATGTAATAAGCATCAACAAGATACGTGAAATGAACATTGCGCTTAATTTAGACGAAACAAACACTCTTAACTAACAGTGTAACATGATAATAAAAATGAAATACAATAGTAACATAAATGAAACTGCAATAATATTGTACTTTGGATAATGAATAAATTACAAGATAGGACATGTGGTTATAATCTCGTTATGAAGATGGGGAATTACTTTGTGTTGAATAGGTAGGTCTTAATACACAAAAGTTTCTGGTTTAACCAGCAGTTCATTAGTAGGCCGTTTAGCTAGTGCATATCATATCACCATGTTTGTCATTTTCATTGATAGCCATCCAAGTGGCCAGTACTTCACCTGGGTCAAGAGTGCCAAATTTAAATGAATGCCTTGCCATGGGAGAAAAGTTATTAGTCTCTGTCGGGGATAAGATAGAGCAATGGAGTATGTTGTATTTCAGTGACATTTATGGGACTAATGCAATCGGTTCTCATTTTAGGACTGTATGTTAAGTTTAAAATTTGTTATTTGATTGAGAGTCTTCAATGTGGAAGATATATAAGATATTCATTTTAAATGGGTTTCTGTTTTTGTTTTCTGCTGCTAAAGTTGTAAATACTTGATTTGAATGTACTGGTATGCCAAAAACATGTGTGTATTTGATTAAGTATGGACAAAAAGTTACTTGAATGCCACACTATATGGACATTTAAAAAAAGAGGTTTCAGGTCATATAATACTTCAAAACTGCCTCAAATAACTTCCAAAGTAGAGAATGTATATTTAAATTGGTTTTCTGTTGCTGTAGATATAAATACATGTACTTGCATTTAAATTATGTCATAAACATGAACGTCTTTGATTAGGTTCGGACAAAAAGTTACTTAAATGCTGATATGGACATGTAAAAAAAAGGGTTTCAGGTCAGATAATACTACAAACTACCTCAAAGAGCAAAATAACACCATATTAGGGTTTTAGGAATATACATTTTACACCAAGAGGCAACTAGATCAAAGTAAGAGGGTATGTTCATATTTGTGATTTTTTATTTTTATAAACAAAGCTATTTTTTTTTGTTACAGAGTGTAGAATGTATATTTTGGTTAGGAAGATAGATATATGTAACTAGATAAGGTAAGACTTATTTGTACATTGGCATACAGTTTTCAGTATTGTATATTGTGTATGATAATATATAGACAAAGAATAAAATGTAACTGAAAGCGTAATTCAAGTAATTTTTGTTAATAAGAAACGGCATACCATACCTATTTTCATCCTTCTTGTCAACATACTTATGGAAAGGTATATTGTTAGAATCTGTATTATTGTTGAGCTCATTTTTGGACCATTGTGCTATAGAATTGCATAAGGATAAAAGCAAAGCTTTATTATTTAGAAGTGTAATCATAAGTAAATTGAAATTACTATCATTATTCAAACAATATATCAATTCAAAGGTAAATGGTCAGTGATGAATTTATGGAAATCTATTGGAAGATGTAATTAGCCAGTATATATTATATGTCGAACCAAAGTCCTTTTTTTAATATCTTGTTTTGCAAAGTACTTGTAGTGGTGGAGTATTAGTTGTTGCATTATACATGTAACTTAAACTGCTACCAGTTCAAAATGCTTGAGTCGCAGATTGTGTGCAATGATTATTCATGTATGGTTGAATTGGACTCTATTATTACGAGTTCCTTTTAAAATGGTACTATGTTTTATAATCTATTTTTTATTATTACCTACATAACTTGGTAAAAACGTAATAAATGTCTTTATACATGTATGCTAAGCTATTATGTTATTTTCTTTGTATATATGCATATCATACATATATCCAAGTAGTGATCGAGTTTTAGTTATTGAAGTACTGCTCATGATGGACCCTAAAACTGCTTGCTGTTTTAAATTGTGTACAATTAATATAGTCAGAATTTTTGTTGGTCAACAAGTAATAATATACACATTTTTGATGGTCAATGCTCTATTTATCTTAGATGTTTTTATTTTGACTTACTGTTTGAAAAGGTTACTTGGCTGAAAGATAATGAATTTTGAAATCAGTTTCATTATATATTTTAATGCACAAACTTTCATTCACATATAACCTGCCTTTACACAAGTACATATTGATATTTGAACATGTATTTGAAATGAATATAGACCTCCGATCAAGAGCAATACTGAACAGAATTGGCTTTATAACCAGTAATATTAGAATCAACACAATTTTGTTGTTGTTTCAAATGCAATAATTTCAATAGTCATAATCATCTTCTTCCTCTTATTTCAGAATGAAATTGAAGGTTTTTATATTTGTAAGATCTCATGAGCTCTTTTTCTACTGAAAATTCAAACCCGATGCTGGGTTTAATAGGTATTTGTCAAAATCGAGACTTTTTTTAACCAAAAAAGTTAGTCCGAGGTGCAAATTTTGTGATTTTAGAAAAAGAAATCACTTTAAATAGTATGTATACTGGACATGGAAGATCATTGTGGACTTGTAACAGAATGAATTAAAAAAAAAAAAAAACATTTATTCCACAACGATGTACTAATTTTGAATAGATTAATGGATTAATAGATAATTATCCAGATATGATCAATTATTAAGAGATTATAATGATCAGATGTATACTGCGTCTTATCCATGAATATGTGGTATCATTACGGTAATCAGTACTCGGCATGGTTTTCATATAGCTATTTATAATAATATTATGAGAACACCTGTATAAATGACATTTATACTAGAAATATTGCTGTCATATAGAATGATAATATTATCTTGCTATAATAATGCAGTTGTTTACATAGAGAATGATATGCTTATGTTACTTCTTTACATTGTATCTGGCTTGAATTCATAAGTTGTGCTTTAAGAGATTTTGTTAGCCTAGCATTCATTTGATTTGATTTGATTTGATATGATTTGATTTATTGGTTTCTGCATCTTTTTTGCTTTTTTTTCATCATACATTTTCATGAACATAATATGGTTTGATACAATATTTTAAGTGTATATAATTTTATACAGATAATAAACGAGATTAAACAAATATATTGAATGCATAATTAACATACATTAGATGCAGGAGGGCTACAGAAATAAGCAGAGTAGCTTGACGTGCCCGCAGCCCTCAACTTAGATACAACAATACAAAATATAAATAAAAAAGAGTGTGACTTGCAGAGAAGAACAGGAAAGGAGAGAGAAGGAGCGTTGGTAATTATGATAAATCTCATACATCTGCTGATTGAATGCAGGTTCATTCATAAATGGATAAACGATGCTGGGTCATTATGAATATACATTTAAATATATCAATGTATGATGTGCATATAGATTATAGGCCTAGAATTTGCTTTTTACGTTTGTTTGTTAATGTGTTGGTCTCTGTGCGTGGAATCCGTGGATAAACTTTATACGTTGTGATATTATAAGACGTTTGGTTCCATGCTCATTTTCGGAGCATTACAATGTGTAATTCATTTAGAGGAAATTAAGATATTGACTGCGTTAGATTGAAATTTACATAACCTTAGAGTTGTTTGTTTTTGTCTCATTGTTTACACAACTTATATTTAAGTAAAACACTATCAAGGAACATTGGAATAATCAATAAATTAAAAATGTTGTTTCCTAAGTAAATTTTGAAAAGTTTGTACTCCACGCTTATCTTAAAGATAAAGACCTTTTTTCATCATTATCTCCTTCCCTTTTTTGCCAACAAGTTTTGAGGGCGAGGGATGGTGGGTCACACCAACAACCTCCCACCCCCCCCCCCCCTCCATAAGCTCCTGTGTTAAAATTAGATAAGGTATCAGAAAGACTAATTAGAATTGAATATAAATGGAAGGTTTCTACAAACTTCTCTCTCCATCACTTCCTTTTTATTGCCAATTTTTTTTTTCCTGCACAGGTTGTGAGAAACAATTTACATGGAAGGTCATGTATGATATGTGGCTCATCAGACAATCTACAATCGGAATGACACTGGCCAGACTACAGCATTTATTTCTATCAAAAGAATTTGTGTCTCAACAAACTGCAGTTAATACCAATTAATTTGTAGAAGAAAATTTGCATTAAAAAAGTAGCATTATTGAAATTAAAAAAATAAAATAACAAGTTGCAAATACAGTGAAAGTATGACCCAAAACTGCAAGGGTATCATTTAAAAAAACAAAATGGAGGTTTATATATGTAACAAATATACAACATGCACAGTTCTGCCAACCAGGTACAGTAATATGAAAGTGCATGGTGGTGTAATATGAAAGTGCATGGTGGTGTAATATGAAAGTGCATGGTGGTGTAGTATGAAAGTGCATGGTGGTGTAATATGAAAGTGCATGGTGGTGTAGTATGAAAGTGCATGGTGGTGTAGTATGAAAGTGCATGGTGGTGTAATATGAAAGTGCATGGTGGTGTAGTATGAAAGTGCATGGTGGTGTAGTATGAAAGTGCATGGTGGTGTAGTATGAAAGTGCATGGTGGTGTAATATGAAAGTGCATGGTGGTGTAGTATGAAAGTGCATGGTGGTGTAATATGAAAGTGCATGGTGGTGTAGTATGAAAGTGCATGGTGGTGTAGTATGAAAGTGCATGGTGGTGTAATATGAAAGTGCATGGTGGTGTAATATGAAAGTGCATGGTGGTGTAGTATGAAAGTGCATGGTGGTGTAGTATGAAAGTATAACATCAAACATTACAAGGCAAATTTTACGCGCTTGATGTGCTACAATATAATACTTAAAAAGACAATTCTATATGAATGTTCTAATAACATACAAAGTGAAACTAAAATAGAACATTTGCACTTTAAATATTCATATGATCGTTGGCCATAGAAGATTACAAAACACATACTCTTTTTATTGTCATTAACAAAAAATATGCACACACTTGATTTATTGAATACTACTTCAGTTGCTGATATTGCATGCGGTTGTGTGTGTGGGGGTCTTTTAATTCTTTAACAATCAATCTGCATTATGTGTTGTTTGATTACGATATTGATAGCTCTTACATCTTCATAATTTTAACAAACGAATTCGCTTTCATTGGGTGCCTGCCGTAGCAAAAAGCAGATTTTACAAAAGACTTAACTTCGTTTCGTTGACAATCAGCCGTAGACAAGAGTCTCCATGCATGCATGGCTGATTGTCAACGAAACGGAATTAAGTCTTTTGTTAATTTCGTTTAATAATATGACAGGCAGCCAGTGAAAACGAATTCGTTTATGAAAATGCAAGCACTACTTTAAACAAACAGAACTTTGTCATTCCTCGCTCATTTTTCCTGATTGAGGTGTCATATAAAAGGGCAGAAACTCAACTTTCTAGAAATGTGAATTTTTCTTCGAAATTCAGATACGGCCCGCCAAATGTCTTTTTGGTTTTCTTCCTTCAAATTGCTTTTGATCACTCATGCGTGAAATATGCATTATCTGAGTAGCATCAACTGAAAGAGGAGACTCTAAGCTTTCCAAATATGTATCATTCATTAATTATAGTTTTGATTAAGTTATGATAGAACATCGATACTTCTCGGTTTCGTTTTTTCTGGGACGCACTGTATAGAGGCCGCAAGTAGCTACAAGAAGTGCAGTCCCGCTTAAATACCGTCGTTCATCCTAACATAGTTTATCACATAATATCACCCATAGCAACCATCACATCCAGATGTCACTCTGACAAAATAACAAAATATACAATATTTTGGGATATAGCCTGCCGAGCTATACTAGCACGTAGATACAGCATTTATTTCACATAAATTATCAACACTTTCATTTTTCAAAGTATGAAAACAACTTCCAACAAATTCTGTCTGAGAATCATACATATATAATGTTTTTATACCTCTTAACATTTAATCATGTGAAAACATAACTAATCAAACTGTTATGCCCTAACCCTAATTATGCCCGGGTTTAAAAAAACAGATAAAACTGAATCAGCACTAAACTCTGAAAAGACCCTATGGCCACCACAACCTAAACTTTGATGCAACAACGTCTCCTACTTATTATCATTTTTTTTTAGTTCACTCTTTAAAAAGAACTCCATATAAAAAAAAAAGTGCTATTGTGCGGTCCTTGGAAAGCTAGAATGACTTCTCTCTACACACCACACCCTTATCTCGCATCCTCTCTTTTCATATTCAAATGAAACACCTTCGACGCAACGGAATTGAATAATTCCGTCACGCATGCCGGAGAACAATTAGTGTTCACCACTTATTGGCCGTATAAACAACATTTGCCAGCTATACGATGTAACGCTGGCAAATACATGTTCATCCTAACATCGTTTATCACATAATATCACCCATAGCAACCATCACATCCAGATGTCACTCTAACAAAATAACAAAATATACAATATTTTGGGATATAGCCTGCCGAGCTACTAGAATACTACAAAGAAGGGGAAAATATTTAACTATACCTCAATCCGAGATAAGTACGAAAAATAAAAAACAATCTCTATCTTCCCGATCTTATTCACGCCATTGTAAATATGCTGACTTGTAAGGAATCAGATTTTTTTTTGTTTTTGTTTTTTTGTTTTTTTTCTCAAGGAAATATGCACTCTTCAGTTCTGACCTATGCAAATATTGCTGGCAATAGTGTGTTCCTCAAATAAACTTGAAACGTTTAATTTATTTAACAAAATATCACGTAACCTTATACGTAGTTTGTTCAAACATAAATATCTTTACCTCAGTCACTAGTTTTATACTGTATATTTCCCTAGTAACAAAAAAATATTACAAATTTAAAGCTTGAGATACAGTGAGCCTGTCCTCCAAACTATCTTCCACGTACCCATCCTTCGCTTTTTCCCCTTTCCATCTACCATGCCTCTTCCATACTCTGTCATTTACTCCTGCCCTGGCAGCTGCCGTGGCTCCACTTGCCCTCAAAGAATGGAGACCAATGTTTAAATCCCCGCTTACCTCCTTGAGACGAGCGACAACTGTTTCACGTGTTCTCGTATAGCTCATTTGCTTATTCTTATGTATCAGAAACTTTCTTCCTTTATTTGCATATGCGGGTTTAAATAAAAATTGATCCGATTTCGTATCTATCCCTGCACTCTCCATATACCTCTTAACTATGCTAATAGGACAAGCATTTGTCCTCCCTTCACAAATGACTACATCATCTCCTTTTCTGTACTGATCTGTCTTACTCTTTGAAACGTGTACGGATCATGATCATCATAAAAACTGATATCACTGCATTTTAGAGATCTGGCCTCATCGAATCTAAAAAATCCACTAAAACAAAGAATAATGAAAGCTAAATCACGCAGAATAAGAACATCATGAGTACCAGAATGTTTGTCGCAAAGATCAACAATCTGCTCATTCGACAAAATATCCTTTTTAGACAC